TCTTTGATAATATTCAAATATACTAGTGTGGAACTCAGAGAATATTACTCATGGACATGATGGTTAAAAGGTCCAAAACTATTCTACAAAATTTATTAGTTAATTAATCTTTAATATGACTGAGACTGGACATTTGAAGGTACTACTCTACCCAAAATTATCATACTAAATTCTGAGATGTTACCATACCAAACTTTGAGAGGTTATATTTGTTTCAGTGAAAAATATTGAACAAGAAACATACAATTTTAACACAAAATAACTATTTCTAACAAAAGTCATCAAGACTGTGTGTAATATAAAATCTAAATGTAAGAATGAATGTGAGAAAATACTTATTCATAACTGCAGATGTTTGGTACAACTTGCCAGGGACTGTGATAAGTACCACTGACTAGACAGTTCTCTTGACATGATCTCAGATTAATTAACTGTAGCATGTTCAATTCAGAATAAAAATAAAATAGGTCAATCCATGGTTGGGGAAAGGTGAGTAAGTTTCCTAACATGTACAAGTTAGTTGATTGCTGTGGATCACATCATGGCAGAGAACTTTAAAAAGAACCTCACAAGAAATAAACACTTCCTGACTTTGCATTAATCCTCTGGGGGGTTACTAAACCAAAAGCTTCTGCCTTAAAGAGGCTAAAATATTATTTCATTACTACAATAGTGTAACTGGACTTGACCAGAACTATAACAATGATTGTGATTAAATAACTAACAAATTTACTTACAAGAAATAAAATACAATTTTGATTTGCTTTATTTTTGATCAGCATTACGTATATATTTGGAGTATACCTAGAGAGGGTTTTGGGGATCCATGCCCTAACGGCTAGTCTGTGACCAGGCCTCATGGTGGTATAGTAAAGACATAACCCAATCCAGGATAACTCAAGAGAGCAAAGCAATGTAGCACATTTCCATTGGGGTCATTTGATCCCCTCTGATCTGTGGTGGCATATGGCTCGAGTGACAGTGCCATCGATATTGAACCTGGGTTTAATTTCAGCACAAGCAGATTAATATTATTACAGCACATTTATGGGGGGGGGGTGCTAAACACATAGTTGACATACAACGCCTAGGGGTATGGAAATCATTCAGGCTCGATCCAAAGATGGGAAGGGCAGATCCAATTCATTAGAACAAAAGCTTCTCTATCTTTAAAGAACCTCTCAAAGGGTCAGCACAAGTGTAAATGTTAGGCATGTCTGTTTGCACCTGTTACCTTTGCTAACATAGCAGTAAGTAGGTATCTGGGTGTTAGCAGACTCTTATGGGTTGTTTCTTGGGATACAGAACCAAAAGATCCCAATGAAAGCCATATACGGTGGTGTTATTGCGTTATCCCAATGGAAATAAGTCACTCTGTCTGACTTTTTTTAGGTTATCCTAGGTACTTTACGCATATGCTGCTATGTATGATAATCTATGTAACTGTATTTGTGTATACCTGAATAAACTTACTTACTAAACCGTTTGCATTTTTAACCTGGAGGGACAGCCACCCAAGATAGCCCATAAAGTCATCAGGGACCATCTTATTTCCACCGGGGTCTTCTCTCCTACGATGTAACCCAAAGCAGTCAACTAACTTTTAGGTACCTACTTAATGGCTGATGAAGAGGCAACAGGTATAAGGAAATATGCCCGTTTCACCTGTGCCAGGAAGTGATCCTGCACCAGTGTGCGAGACTTAAGGACACTACCAAGCAAACCATGAGCATTCAGGACCCACAACAGCTGCCTAACACCCAGGTACCTATTTACTACTGGGAACTAGGGCAACATGTTTTAAAGAAACTTGCCCAAAATTACCACTCGTGATGGAAACAAACCAAGGACCCAGTAGAAATAAGTCTCTTGTCTGACTTTTTTGGTTTTCCTAGGTAATTTACACTTTATTTGATAATTGTAGTTATGTGTACCTGTGCCTAAACTTACTAACCCAGGTTCTCAAAGTGTGAGCAGTAGGGGACTACATAACTTGAGTTTATATTCAAGTTCAATACACACTTAATTTTTTATCAATTGTCATATATAGCAACTTAAAAGTAAATTAAACTAGGAAAGCCAAAGTAAAAAAAAAAATGCGACATTTCCGTCAAGGCATTTCAAGGAGCTAAAGCAAAGGCTGACAACAGCATTATTTAAAATAATAAACTATGGCTTTCTCAGTACCATAAAAATAATGATAACCTCTACTGACAAGTAACTGTGGTACTATTATTAACCAAAATCAAAGAAACAGGAGGTGGAGCGGGGAGACATGACTCAGTGACAGCTGTATCTTCCCGTCCCTCCTCTCCCTCACGCCTCACTCTCCTCCTCATACTCACCAGCAATTTAGCTTCCTCACGTTATGTAAATCCGATCCTTTCGATCTGGCAACGACCATATCCTCTGTTAGTTTGACCATTTTGGAAACACTTGCAGTGGTGGTTGAGCTCAGTCCTCGACCTCTCCATAACACCTGGAGAGACACTCGGGTTACTCTTATTTATTACTACAAATTATCTTGAAATGAAAACAGTTTAACCACATGGTTTTTATTTCATATATAAATACATTATCAATGTAAAACAGGTAATAATACCGTAATATTTATATTAGGTATATGCAATTGATTATACAATGAATAAATATGATTATATTTTGGAGAGATATGGGTGAAATAGCCAGACAAATGAATGTTATACTGAACAGTAATACAGCAAATCTATTTAAATATTCTAAGTATATAATTAGTAAATATTGCTATTTTTTAAATACATGTAAAAATATATGTTAAAATAAGCACTGTCTGATAGTTTAGAGATAAATGTTCATTATTGATTTAGCCCACTACCTGCTTCTAATATATTTGAGCGAAATACAATGAAAATTTTAAATTATTCACGAAACATAATAGTCAATATTTCTAATAACCAGATAACTACAGAAGTCATACATTTCAAGCCATGAGCATTAAGAATGCATAAGACCAGGAAGGCTTGTAATAAGGTGACAACATGAAGTAAGAAGAGGAGGAGACTAACGAATAGACGAAAAACATTTTTTTTTTTTTGTATGTGTGAGTCAGTCAAGTAAGAGACGGGTATCCTTAATTGGTCTAACATCTCCAACCAAAGTGCTGCTGACCACCTTTCGTGGGTGGGTTTCATTTTACATACAATATCTCGTCAGAGCTGCTTTTGTTTAGCGATAAATACTGCATCATCTGGAAAGTGGCAGTCCATATAATTATCAATTTGTGTGTGTTCTAAACCATTTATACAAATTTTGTTACTCTTGATAAACGTGTTGCAATCAATAATAATGATGATAATCTTTATTTCTGTAAAGTTACACAAAATAACTAATAAAGATTAAGTAGAGATTTTTAGTATAGTTTATGAGAAGTCCCATGTTATGTGAAGCATTTCAGGCGGTCATAAGATAAACTTATAAGATCTTTCATGAGTCAGTAGGCCTGCAGCAGTGTTCCTTCCTTCTTAAACTGGTGTGGCTTGGACCTATCTAGCATGGGTCAATAGGCCTACTGCAGTGCTCCTTATAAATTGGTAATAGTCAGAACAACGGTATGAATTAGATAAAGAAAGATAATGTTGACAGATGGGTTTTAACAAAATTCGTCTATTCAGAATTTATGTCAGGTGAAGGAAGTGCTTTTAACTATTTCTTTGAAGCAGGTGGCAGATTGGGAACTTTTTTTGCACTTTCTGAAAGGGAATTCTAAATTTTATTTATTTTTTTTTTTTTGGCCTGGAGTTCTTAGATAGGTGGAGTCGAACATCTGGTTAAAAAAATGTTTTTAGTTATACTGCGGGAACGTTGACCCTCGAAACCTATATTCCAGAAGGAGTCAGAGCCACACAGAAGCCACTGACTTTTTGAGTTATCCTCAGTAAGTTACATTTTGTATGATAATTGTACTAATATGTACCTGTACCTAAATAAACTTACTAGCGAGAGAGAGAGAGAGAGAGAGAGAGAGAGAGAGAGAGAGAGAGAGAGAGAGAGAGAGAGAGAGAGAGAGAGAGAGAGAGAGAGAGAGAGAGAGAGAGAGAGAGAGAGAGAGAGGGAGGGAGGGAGAGAGAGAATGTGTGTGCACAGTAGTAGTAGGCAATATTATTAGTAGAAATAGCAGTAATATTAGTAGCAATAATAATAACAATAGTAGCAGCAGTAGTATTTTTTTTTATTGATCTTCATTATTATTTATCATAAAACAGAAGGAAGCGCTAAAAACCCACTAGGGCATACAAACGCTGCGGGTCCCAAATTTATGCAGAATCTAAGGATAAATAAAGGGGGGAGAGGACAACAAGGTAAAATTAGGAAGGATGTGAGGGGGGTGTAAGGAAGGATTATCAAAGTTTGTTTTAATAAATCAGTTGCTGCACAAAAATGCAGAGGAAATCTTGTCAAAGGTGGGGCTATCAGCAAGGAGGGGAAAAATTAAAATAAAGGGGAAACGGGGCGGGGACGGGCGTTTCCCTGAGGAAAATTTTGCTGTCGTTGATAGGGAGGGACGTCAAAAAGAAAATTTTGGAAAAATTGAAAAGGAAACCCACACAATTCTCACAAAAACGGAAAAAGAAAGTCTCTCCAAGAGTTACCCAAATTTGTTAGACGAGTGTGTCCAATGCGAAAAACGAGAGAGTGTAGTAGTAATAATAGTTTGTAGCAGGTGTAAACGGGTTTTTTGAGGTGAACAAGTTAAAAAAATTTTTAAAAAGTAGGAGCGTTGTCGAAACGATGTATATCCAGAATTAGGTGTTTTTTGTGGGGCATACATGGGGGTGACTACTCAGAAACATATTTTGCTGGAAAAAACAATAGGTTGTAGCCTTGTAGGTAGTTTGATGTGGTTTCCTAAGACATTATTATAACATGAGGAAGCGCTAAACCTAAAGGTTTATAAGCGCCGTGGAGGAGGGGGATGGAAGGTATTAAGGTTAATTAGGGAACTGGAGCACGATCCAATTTTCCCTAAATAAAGCCCCTACTAGCGTAAAGGGGGAACCCCCCTTGAGGACCCATTCCCCAAAGCACAGATACCCAAGAAAGGTGGGAATAGATTAGTGAGTAGTAAGGTGAGAAATTTTGCTGAAAAAAAACAGAGTATTTTTGTAGAATGTTTTCTTAGATTGTGTTGGATGTGAGTTTGTTTCGGTGCAGTCAGGTGAACCCCAAAAAATTTTTCCCCTGTTTTTCCCCTACTATGTGAGAATGTTTACTTTTGGACAAAAACTTAACATTTTAAGTTTTTTTCCCAAAAACAACATGTAGAAAGTCTTGTAAATAATGGAGTAAATTTGTTTACCTGGATTTTTCCTGGAGAGAGTTTGGGGGGTAAAAACGCCCCCGGGGGCCCGGTTGGCCCGGCCTCCGGGTGGATCAGCGCCTGATAACCAGGTTTGCTGCTGGCTGCACGCAAACAACGTACGGCACAGCCGGTGATCGGGAAAACGTCTTTAGGGGGGGGGGGCTTGTCCAGTCCCAGCTTAAAGACTCCCAGGGGTCTTTTGGTAACCCCCCTTTTGGTGCTGGGAGGCATTTTGAACAGTTGGGGCCCCTGAATTATTTTTATGGTCTCTTAACGGCTAGTGCACCCCTGCTTTTCTTTGGGGGGGGATGGTGCTCGTCTGCCAAGTCTTTGCTTTCTTTAGTGAGTGTTTTTGTTGCAAGTTTGGTATAGCCCCTCTAGGTTTTTTCCGGTGTATAAAAAATCATGTATCTCCCCCCTCCTGCTTTCCAGGGAATACGTTTAGAAACCTAAGCGCCCCCAGTAATTGAGGTGTTTTATCTCCGTTTGCGCGCCGTGAAAGTTCTTGTACATTTTCTAGGTGGGCCAATTTACCTCCCTTGAAAGGTGCTGTTAGAGTGCACAATATTCCAGCCTAGATAAAAACAAGTGATGAAGAGTGTCATCATGGGTTTGGCCCCCTATTTTGAAGGTTTCTTTTACCCTCCTGTCATTTTTTTAGCAGACGCGAATTGTTTTAAACAATGTTATGGCCCTTGAAGGTGAGATCCCCGAATAATCATCCTAGGCTTTGACTTTGGTGTTTCGCTCTTTTTTTGTTTGGGGGCCAAAAATTTGTTTTTTTCTTGATAAAGTTTTAATTTCCCTCATTTTTTCCTATTGGTAATTGAAATTTCTCATCGTTGAACTTATATTGTTTTCTGCAGCCCCTGAAAGATTTGGTTGATGTCCGCCCGGAGCCTTGCAGTGTCTGCAATGGAAGACACTGTCATGCAGTTCGGGGGGGGTCATCTGCAAAGGAAGACCGGTGCTGTGGTGCTCCTTTTCTAGTCGGATATGGGATGAGGAAAAAAAAATGGGGGGCGTACTGTGCCTTTTGGGACAGAGCTTGTCCGTAGCTGCCCCCGGACTTTACTCTGTTGAGAAACTCTCTGGTTTGTTAGTGAGGAAATTAAGATCCCTCGACGACTTTTTCCTGTTATTCCTTTAGCGCGATTTTGTGCGCTATTACGCCAAGGTCACACTTGTCGAAGGTTTTTTCAAAGTTTTTGTATATATTAATCTGCATTCTTTTTGTCTTCTAGTGATTTAGGACTTGTGTAGTGATCAGTAGTTGAGACAGAAGGGGGACCTGTTTTAAACCCCCTGTTGCCCTGGGTTGTGTAACTATGGGTTTTGATGGGGGGTGATCTTGTTTTAGGACCCTTTCAAAGATTTTTATGATATGGGATGTTAGTGCTATTGGTCTGTAGTTCTTTTTCTGTTGCTTTCTGCCCCTTTGTGGAGTGGGGCTTGTCTGTTTGTTTTTAGTAAATGAGGGACGCCCCCCCTGTCCTGCTCCCTCTCCATAGGGTGGAAAAGGCTCGTGATAGGGGCCCTTTTGCAGTTTTGATTGGGAAAACAGGTTCCTGAGTCTGGCCCTGGGGCAGAGTGCATGGGCATGTATTTATCGCCTTTTTCGAAGTTTTTGGCGAGGTAACTCGGATAGGCTTTTGTTAGTCAAATTTTTGTGGCTCTCTCATAAAAAATTCATTTTTGGGTTTGATCTCGGGTCGGGTTTTAGGGGGCCTTGTTAAAAAACTAAATTTCATTTTGGGGGACTTGAGTGCCACTCTTTCCCTTGCTGTCATTGTGTAGGGCCCCCCTCTTGTTTAAGTGGGGCCCCCCAAATCCCTGGAGGGTTGTTCTCGATTTTTGATTTGGCATGGAGAAGAAATATTTTGGGTTTCTTTCGATTTCATTTATGGCTTTTATTTCCCTTCCCGCGATTCCTGACTCCTAAAGGATTTTTTTTTGCTTAAGTTCTTTGCTTGCTATTTCCCCCCTGACCAGTTTTTTCCCTTGCGCATTTCAGATATATTGACCTTTTTTTAGCCCCCTTTTATTTCTTTTCCGTCCTGAAAAGGGGAGCCCCTTTGGTTCTTTTTTCTATTTTACATCTACTTTTCCTTTTTTTTTTTAGAGGAAAAAGTTTTGTGAAAAACATCGAGTGCCCCCCGATT